TGGCCTCCGAGCCAGTCCCAGGCGGCCCACCCCCCCCCACCTCTGCTTCACCCCTCAGCTCCACCAGTGCTCTGTGCCTGACCCTGGCCTCCCCACTTCGCACATGCTGTTCCCTCCAGCTCGGCCACCCCCACGCAGCCCCCTGCAAGCCTCCACCACAGCTCAGCCAACATCAGTGCCTCACGGGAGCCTTCCCCAAGAGCCTCAAAGCCCACCTCCCTTCCTGGCCCGCCTCCTCCACCCCTCTGCTCCTGCCATCCTTCTTGGTGACTCGGCCCACACGGGGAAGACTGGCCCTAGCCCTGGCTCCTTAGTGCCCCCGTGCCATCGTCAACGTGACCTTCTCTCCCACTGCCCCCTTGGCCACGCCCTGGACTTGGTCTTCAGACCAAGAGCTGCTCTCTGTGCAGCTCCACCCGGCCTGGGCCCCACCTCATCCTCCCTTCCCATTAGGGCCCTTCTGGCCTCCCTTCCCGGCCATCCGGCTGACATCCCAGGACCACGCACGATCACACTTCTCCAAATATGCCAGCTCTTCAGCCTTCCTCCCTCTGAATCACTGTCCTGGCAAACCTCTGCCCCCGTCCACTGACTCTGGCCCACGCCTGCCCCGTGACCCTGCTGGAGCAAGTCACAGAACCAGGCTGGTGGTGCCAGTTACAACCTCACACCTCCCCGGGCCTGGGACGCAGCTAGATTTCTTTAGGAGGCCCATGTCCTCCGTCCTTCCCCGAGGCCACCACATCCCTCCTCACTCTCATTTCTCCTGAAAACCTCCTGTCCCATTTCAGAGAGAAGACGGAAGCCTTGGAAGTGAAGCTCGTCTTCTTTGTGCCATCAAACCCACCAACCTTCCTGACCACTCCCACGTCCCCCACCTCCCGTGCCATGGTAAGGCATCACCCCCTTGCTCCCGTATCATCAGCCCTTTGCTTCCTTCTGGATTCTTCTCACTTGCCTGTAACATGCTCCAGGACTTCCCGTCTCCATAACACCCACCTCAATGCCACCTGCCCTCCTGTGGCTACTGCCCCATATAGCTGCTTCTCTCTACAATCAACCCCCCTTGAGAGAGTAGACAATGAAGCCTGGCCCAACAAACCCCTCCAACCCCCGTCATGGCTCCACAGCCACGGCCCCAGACAACACGTCCACTAAGAATCGACGTCTCCACTCTGTCCTTACGCCTGACCTGCAGGGCACCGGCTTAGTGGTTCTCAGACCTTAGGTGCAGTTCAACGAGATATCCATGTAAACGTGGCGCCCCGTGAAATTTGAGGACCGCCTCGGTGTTGCCAAATCTCCAGGGCACTTGGCCATGGCCATTATACCAGACATCTCTGCACCAACCACACCTGCCCACTTGAACGGTACACCCCCCCCCCGACCTCCAGGACTCCATGCTCCCCGGTTCTGCTCCGTGATGGATCCTTCTCCTCCAGCTGAGCCCCCAGTGCTGGGATTCTCCAACACATGGACTGGGAATTCTGTCTCTACTTTGTCTACATTCTGCAGGAAATCTCATCCACTCCCTACATACCTCTAAGTCCATGATACCCGAGTATGTAGAAGCCACTGTGACTTCTCATATGAGCTTCAAAATAACAAATCCGACTGCCTTCTTGACGTCCGGACTTAGATTTTTCAGGAACATCTCACATGTAACATGTGTATCAGAGGACTTTTGCTTTTATCTGGGATACCTAGGTCTCACCCTGCCCTGCCCCCAGCCCAGGATGCCCACCTCAGTAAGCGCACTCCACCCACTCAAGGGTGATAGTTCTCCCGGATTCCTGCCTCTCCCTCACCTCCCACATCCAATCCGGTGACATTTTGTGTTGGACTCAGGTCCAAGGCCACCTGCTAGGTTCAGACCTTTCCCAGCGCGCACCGGACGGCATGGCTTTCCCACTGGACTCCTCACTGTTGATCAGCCAGCCCCACCAAGACTAATCTCTGCACACACCCAGAATAATCATCTCAAAGTAAAGCTGAAAGTGTTGTTCCTCGTGGGTTTCGAGAGAGCACCCACACCACCCACCCTATTCCTCTTGCCCTGCTCTCCTGATTCTTCACTTAGGTTTGGGCCTTGAGCACCCAAGTCCTTAAGGCCACGGGGCATTTGCACCTGCTGTACTGTCTTCTTTGGATGGCCTGTAACAGGTCTGGCTTCCTCCCATCCTTCAGGCCCCGGAGTAAACGGGCCTCCTCTTTGCAGCCTGCAGTGAGTACATCCTCCCTGGGATGACACCTCTGTCCCCCAGGCCCCAGCGTGCCCACGTGTACCTTGGCCACCAGCCCCACACTCAGTGCCTGGTACACTGGGGCCGTCCTGTGTACGAGTCAACTGAGTGAGCAAATGAACGAGATACGTGTTCTCTGGAGTGAGTGCCCTGCTGCCCCCCACATCCCCGCTCATCTCACAACAGGACCCCGAGCTCATTAGTACCGAAGAATTCACCGGGGGTCTGCGGTCTCAGGGTCTTGGTGAAATTGCCCCTTTACCCTCCTTCCCTGGGGAAATGGTGCTCCCTCACCCCCATTTCGGATGAGAACAACAAAGGGCCAACCAACGTGGAGAGATCTGGTCTCCTCCTTGTCATATGAAGGAGTAAACCGAGGCCCAAGAGGGACAAAGTCACCCTCCCGCACACCCGAGGCCCTTCAGAGAGCCCCTCCCGCCGTGGCTCCCGCGCTCCCGGTGCCCGCAGCTCACCTGCTTGTGCGGGTACACGTTGATGTGGCACTTGATGCACTCCTGCCCCATGTTGGCCCAGGAGTTCCCGCTCATCCATTTTCTCTTGCACTTGGGGCACTTATACTCGCCGAAACAGCGCTTCTTGCCCTGGTACGGGGTCAGACCCTCGCCTTTGGGGCGTGCCTAGAGGACAGGAAGCAAACGTAGGGCGTTGGGGTCCACCGGCCCAAACTGACGCCCCTACAGGGGTCGCCCGGTCTTCCCCTTCCTCCTTCACACTCCATGTGCAGACACCTTTCGTCCCCATCCAGGGAACACCGGGCGACCCCCAGAGCACACCCGGGATCCCAAGGCTGGGAGACCCACACAAGGGAGACAGAGAACAGAGGAGGCGATGGAGGGTACACATCCTTTCTAGATTTCGGGGACCAAACTGTGTGATGGTGGCCAGGAATTCCTTCTCTGACTCCGATGTCGTAAAAAGGCAGCCAGTGGTCGCATGCACCCGCACACAGGTGCTCTTTGGCCACACGGTGGTGTGGTTTCAAGGGTTATGGCGGGGGGGGGGGGGGGGGGGGGGGGGGGGGGGGGGGGGGGGGGCGCGCCCGGGTGGCTCAGTCGGTTGGGCGTCCTACTTCGGTTCGGGTCACGATCTCGCGGTTCGTGGGTTCAGTCCCCACATCAGGCTCCGCACCGGCAGTGCGAAGCCTGCTTGGGATTGTCTCTCTCTTCCTCTCTCTCTGCCCCTCCTCTGCTTGCGCTCTCTTTCTCTCTCCAAATAATAAATAAACTTAAATGGTTATCGGAGAGGCAACGCAGGCACAACGTGTGCAACCCGGAAGGTGTATCTCCCCTCCCCCTGGTCCCGGCCACAGCTCCCCTCCTGGAGGCCTTCTTCATTTCCTTCACACCACCCCGGGATGGGTTCTGCATTTACAAACATACACACCATATAGACACGCACTCACGTCCCCATCCCTCACTCGAGGGACACCTTACACCTTCCGTTCTGCATCTTCCCTTTCTTAGTAAGCTATCTCGAGCATATTATTATTGTGAGATACGCAATAACACACCTCTTCCCTGCATCAGTACAAACGGCCCTGCCGTGTTCTGTTTAACAGCTGTACAGCGCGGCGTCTATGCGAGCTCTGCGGCGCTCGCCAAGCACCACGACAGAGCACCTGGGTTCTCCCACTCTTCGGCTATGGCAGTGCGACAATGCGTAATTGTGTGTGCGTGTGTGTGTGTGTGTGCGTATCACATTTTGCACGCGTGAGGGGACGTGTGGGGGATAAATCCCCAGAGATTAAACCGCGGCGTCAATGGGGATGCGCACTTTCAATTCTGAAGGATAATGACGCGTTGCCCCCAGCCCCCGCCCCCACCACCCTGCAAGGGTACCAACTTAATGTCCCATTCCCTCGCCAGAATCGCTGTCACTGTTGCCAGTCTAAGAGGTAGAAAGTCTTCTCAGAGTGGCTTTGACTTGTCTTTTATTGCAAGAGAGAATTCCCCGTGCATTTAAGAACCACTGTGCTTCCTTGGTTAATGTGTCACGTGGGTTGATGTGTGTCCTTTGTGATCTTTTTTTTTTTTCTGCTGGGGTTTGTTATTTTTCTTGTTGACTTGTAACTGCACTTTACCTATTAAAGAGACTAATTCTCTCCTGTGTGGTGTTTTTGGTTTTGGTTGAAGCAGCTTTAACAAGATATGATTCACAGACCCCACATTTCACCTGTACGAGGTGCACAATTCAGTGGGTTTTAGTACACTCACAGAGTTTTATATTAACCCTCACTGCAATCTAATTTTAGAACATTTGGTTGTCCCCCCCCCCCCCCAAAAAAAAGAAACCCTATATCCATTATACCCTTCTCACCCTACCCAGCCCTGGGCAACCACCAATCTCCTTTCTGTCTCTAGAGATTTCCCTGTTCTAGATGGTTCATATACGAGGAATCACACAATAATCATCCTCTTGTGTCTGGCTTCTTTCATTCAGTGTAATGCTTTTAAGGATCATCCACGTAGGAGCACGTCTCAGACCTTTATTCCGACTTGTTGCCAGATACTATCCCATGGTGTGGACATGCTGTATTTTCTTACTTATTCATCAGATGATAGACATTTGGGTTGTTTCTAATTTGGGGCTATTATGAATTATGCTGCGATGAACATTCACGTACAAGCTGCAAGGTGTTTTATAAACTTGGATTAGTCACCTCAGTATTTGAAAATGGGACATTTCAGGGGCGCCTGGGTGGCTCAGTTGATTAAGCAGCTGACTTCGGCTCAGGTCATGATCTCGCGGTCTGTGAGTTCAAGCCCGGCGTTGGGCTCTGTGCTGACAGCTCAGAGCCTGGAGCCTGCTTCCGATTCTGTGTCTCCCTCTCTCTCTGCCCCTCCCCTGCTTGTGTTCTCTCTCTCTCTCTCAAAAATAATAAACATTTAAAAAAATTAAAAAAGAAAAAGAAAATGGGAGATTCCACCTAGAAATTAGGACCACATTGGTCCAGAAATCTCTCAGATGACTATCCACTGAGGCTGAGGAGTGGCCCCATCACAATGACTGCATATCTTCCGTGTTGCCTCTGTTCCAACCAGCTGCTCCTTGCATTTACGTCACGTACTTGGCACTTGTAGGCTTTGGGTCTGACACAGGCTTAAACACACGTTCTCCACTGTGGATATTCAAAGTGTGGGTCCTAGACTGGCATCAGCAGCATTACCTGAGAGCTTGTTATAAATGCATGGTCTCAGGCTCCACCTTAGATCGACTGAATGGGAATCTGCATTCTAACAAGAGCCCCAGGGGATCCACGTGCCATTAAGTTTAAGAAGCTCTGGGCTACAGGGTGATCCGTCTCTACAGTCATGTTTGGGTAATTGCCCATTCACAAAGTAGCACATAAAGGTTAAGAGCACAGACTCTGGACTGAAATCCCAGCTTTGTGATCTTACGCAAATTACTCGCAAAGATAATGACACGAACCACCATCTGACTATTCTGAAGATCAAACGAGAAACATGTAGAACACTTAGAACAGTGCCTGATACCTAAAACAGCAGTATTCGTTATTATTGTTATTTACGAACATAGAATAATAGCAGCACGTAAAGCAATAATTTCTTCCTTCAGGAACCATGTCTCTTATTCCCAAGAGCCAATACCACCACTTGGTGACAGCCTACTAGAATTTCAGGCAAATCACTAAAAAGGGACATATTACTGAGTGTGTAAATCTAAATTTAGCAAGTGACAACAATACTGCCCTGATCTTTTGGGCCTGCTGCCTAATGTCTTTAGATCTTTATTGGCCTTCCTGGCGGCCATTATATCCTGGGGAGGACGTTCAGTCTGAGCTCCAAGGCAGGGCTGGCTCTCAGCACTGGCAGGTCCGTGAGGGAGGCTGGTTATGCCGAGGGGAGCACTCAGCATGCAGTCGGCATCCAGGCTCCAGTCAAATTGCGGTAGAGGGGTCAACTTATGCTTTGAGCTCTGTTGGTCTGAGGTCCGTGGGTGTGCAGTGATCCTTCTGACCCCTTCTGGTGCCACCCTTCCTACCTGGTGCCTGGTACCCGCAGCTTCGAAGCAACTCTAGCTTCTATGGCCTCCCTTCCCAGTAATCCTGAAATAAATACTAGATGCACTCTTTCCCTGGTGTCTCCATTCATAAAGGCACCTACATTTAAAAGGTGCCTTTTAGGATGGGTAGGCACGGGGTGCCTCACCCATGGTAGCCTGTGAGACTCCCTGATTGAAGGGGGAAATGTGGGGGCCATCACCAGTCAGGCCCACTCTGGGATCTGGCCCTACAGGCTTCTTGATTCAGAAACCGACAGGCCCTGCAGCTGGGGCAAAGGGCAGGGGGCAGGGTATCAGAGGGAGGGGGCAAGGCATCCTGGGGTCACTCAGCAGAGTGAAAGGTGAGGAATGGGGCAGAGCCAACAAAGAGTCTCTGCTTCAGAAGGAAACCCACACGAAAAAGATGACACAGAATGTGCACCAAAGACAGAAGCAGGCAGATGAGAGGAAGGAGCGAGGGGAGGGTCGGAAAGCACCACCACACCGTGTAATTAGAAAACCAGCCGTTCTGGAGTCATCCATCAGGGAGCGTGAACTGCTGGGCAGGGCCCAGGGACAGGGGCTACCGCCTCCTGCAGGACCAGATGTCCTCAGCACCCCATTCCCACCCTGCCATCAGGCCAGGCACTGGCACCCCGCTGCGTGGGACATGGCTCACACCATGGATGCCACGGCCAGGTGCCGGTGATCACATTCTGCCTCTGCTGGGACTATCTGGGGGACCCCGAGTGAGTTACTCAACCTTTCCGTGCCTTGGTCTCCTCATCTGGAAACCAGGATCATGGTGAGGGCCCGCCTCCCCAGGCTGCTGGAAGGATGGGAGGCATTCATGCATATGAAGGTGTTAGCGGACAGCTGGGCATTACAAGTGCTCACTGAGCATTAGCAATTTCAGGATGATTTTTCTCCTGGGGCTGGTGCAGGGAGGGGTAGCAGCTGCCTTCGGGGCAATGCAGAGGCTAGGGCTGAGACCCAGGGGGGTGTAAATCACAGGAGGAAAGCTCCCGAAGATGGGAGGGCACCTGGGTAAAGGGTGGGCCCACTATCCCCAAAGATGGAGGCGGTGGCAGGCAAAACAGGGACTGCATTAGGTATTTTCACCTTCTGGAATTTTCAGGGAAGAACCAAGAAAGACAGGGGAAGGCCGCGGAAGCTCTGTGGTACTGCTGGCGGAGAACAAAGGGAAGAGCAAAGAGGGGAGACGCTTACAAGGGGCCACCTGTGTGCGGGGCTTTGCGCTCAGGGCTCCACAGCCTATCAGGCTCCCGCTCGACTCTTCCCATAACCCTGTGGGGCAAGGAATATCATCAACCCATTTAACAGATGGCAAAACTAAGGCACAGGGAAGGGGCAGGACTCGCCAAACAGCTTCCAGTGTCTGAGAAGCAGGACTAGGCCCAGTGGGCTTTTCCACGAGGCTACGTTTGGCTTCCCTTTTCTGTCTGTCACCCCCCAAATGTGTCTCTACCACAAAGCTGAGGGCTGTACTCAGAAGAAACGTCCTCAGCCCCTCTGCTCAGCCCAGCCTGGCGCCTCTGCCCTCCTGCGGGTCACAGGGGGAGAAATGGCCTGCAGGACAGGGGTAAAGAGGCAG